TATTTTTTTCTTTATGTTATGGGCATGAAATATGTAAAAGTTTGCTTCCATACATAATTTTAAAAAGGTTATTTTATTATTTTTGAATCCTGAAATTGTAAAAACCATGCAATCATTAGGAATATAAAACTACTAAAAAATTGTTTTAGTAAATCAAGCTGCTATTTGATAACTCTGTTCTGTTCAATAAAAATTTAGTGAAATAGAGAAGTAGTAAGTATTAATAAAAAATAAGTAAAAATAGAGAAGTAATAAGTAAATAAATCTGATTGGATTTAGAGCATAGCAGGATCCAATTATTTCTCTAAGTACAAAATAAACGGTTTTACAATTTAAAAAGTTTTTTCAAACATTAACATTGCTTTTAAATTCTCAAAAAGTCATTTTTAAATAAGTTATTAAAATATGTTTAAAGGGGTTTCATTTTGACAATAAAAGCATCATTATTTGTCATCATTTGAAAACATCATTATTTGTCATCATTTGATCCTATATAAGTTCATTTAATGTTTATCTCCAAAAAAAAAATGACACCAATACTACTATCACTGTTACTTTTTTTGGGTAAATTGACCACAGTCATGACCCAACAAAACCACTTGCGTGAAACAATACAGCCTGAAACCATACATCCTGAAAATACATACATTCCAGTTAATAAAAATGATAAAAGTCTAACTATTATGTCAGAGAAAAAAGATTTTTTATTTTTGTATTCTATTGCCCATTACACTGAAATGGCAGCATTCAAAAATTTTGTATTTTAACAGTATTCAAAAATTGATATAGGTTTATTTATACACAAGTACCATCACAAAATATTAGTTTTTTAGTGATTAGTTATCAAAACCACCATTTTTAATGCATGAAAAGTTAAATTTTTTATAAAAAGCAATATTTTTTCATCAAAGGTACACCTCAATGTATTATAATAACCTGAACTAAAACAATCTAACATAGCTAAACTGATATTGAAAACCAGGGGTATATTGTATTATTAAAATACTTTTCCCGGAAAGAAGTATACATTTTTTTGTTACATAAGTTGTTTTGTTATAAGGATTATTTTAGGAAATAGCATAAGGATTTGACTCTGAGGTTAAGCCATAAAATTTTTATTAAATTATTACTATGCTTATGCTGTTTCCCAAAATAATAAAATATTAAATACAAACTATAGGTAATGCAATTTTTAATACAACTTTTCAAGTAATACTCTTATGAATCTCTTAAGAGTATTACTTGAAAAGTTGTATTAAAACATATAAATGTTTTCATATTTTATCTATAAAAATGTTTCACACAGAAAATTCAGAATCAAAGGATCAAAGCTGTAGTTGTTAGATTTGTTGAATAAAGTGTTAGAACCTAACTTAAAAGAGCCTGTCAAAAGTTAACAAGAAGAAACACAAAAGATGTGTGCTCTCTACTAAACTCTTTTGGACAAGGGCTTGCCACTTGATTGCAAATAATCAACTTCATAAAAAGTTAAGCTACTTGTAACAATAGATGTTGCTGCAGCTGAGCAAATAGAATCTTTTTCGATTAAAAAAAAAAGGATGCAACACCTGAAATCATCAAAGTTTCACTATCAAAAGAATAAAATAAACTATTGATGATGTCGTTTATAAATTCTATTGATGTTGTCGTTATAAATTCTATTGATGATGTCGTTGACAAGAGGAAGCAAAATTAATAATTTTGTTGTTCATTGCATTAGCTTGGCAGATCTGATACGTTTAAAGTAAATTTTTTAGACACACTTACCACGGCAGTTCGCATATTTTAACTTTTTAAGGGTTTCAATTATTTGCAATAAAAACCTAAACTTATCAACTGAGAAAAAAAAACCAACTTTTAAAAAAAGGAAACAAAATTCCAATGAAATATCAAATTTTAATTAAAGTAAAAATATTTAATAATTTGAAGAAAAAAAAGTTTAGAAAAAAATTTTTTTATTTAAAATCTTTATACATTTTTGTATTCTTTTTTTAAGAGTAGTTTTTACTATTGGCTACCAAATTTGATACAAGTTGAGGAAAAAAACATTTTATAACAATTTAACAACTATTAAAAGTTTTAATAAGCAATTTATTTACGATTTTTATCAGCCTATATAATAAAGAAACTAATTTGCTATGCACGCTAAAACTATGAGAACTACTTTAGTTAATTTTTTGCTATACTTGAAATTTTTTCTCAATACTTATATAATAGAAAATTTATTTGTTTGCTATTTATTTGTAAAATATATTATTTGATTAATAAATTTTGTCATAGTGGAAAACATTAAATAAAATAATTATATGGTTTCTTTTCTAAATGTATTTACCACATTTGATGCCTGTATGAAATTTTTTCCTTTATATTGCCTATTTCCAACGTTAATACAAATTACTAGCCATAATGAACATAATGATTGCTCTGTTTGAAAAATGTATTTAAAAGCTAAAAATAAGTTTTTAATAGGCTTCTGAAAATTTTGTTTAAAAAGTTCAGTAAATAAACAACTATTTATGAGAAATAATTTTCTCGCTCACCTGTGCATTGATAAAAATAGTAAAATTTAGCAAAAACATTTAAAAAATGAATTGCAAAAGTGTCCATATTTCTAGTGCAATTAATTCAAAAGTTATGAATAAATTGTATATAAAAATGTTTTTATTTTCAATATATTCTTATCTGCTCTTTTCTTCGACTTGTATCAATTTTGATAGTGGAAAATAAAAAAAAGGAAAAGAAAAATAGTAAAATATTAGGTATATTATTTTTTTGACAACTCTTCTTTTTTTACTTTTCAATTTTTTTTAGTTTTTTTCATTTAGATTTTCTATTTCGTATAGTATTTGTTTCCTTCTTTGAGTATTACTGTTTTATTCTCTGTAGTTTCTTATAGCTTTTTTTTGCTGCAAATTTTTAAAACGCTTACTTTATAAAAACGTCTAAAAAAATAACTTTAAACATGGACGAGCAAGGCATGCAACTGCATGTACTTTCTGGGAAAGCTTGGGAACTTTTTTTTTTAGAAGATACCACTGGCAAAACTCATGAATTTAAAAAAATTTAATCTCAATCTTCAAAAATTGTTAGTCATAAAGTACATCAAAATGGACTGAAATTAAAAAAAGAATTTCAGTCTATTTTTGATGTACTTTATGACTTTATAAGGAATGAGAAAAAAAATGGTGAAAAAATTGGTTTAGAAAAATTAGGATTATTTTTTTTACTTTTTCTTATTTTAAATTTTATTTTAATTTTAAATAAAAATTTAAAAACTTAACCTTTTTAAGGTTTGGGTTCATGTTGTCTGCAGCCAAACATATAATCAGTTTGAAGCTGAAAAGTATTTTAGGGATCTGAATTAATGGTTCCAAATGCACAATAGGTTCAAATGTATGAAGTCTTTCCAAACTGTTCACTTTAAAAAGAACTATTGCAATTGATCTAGTGAAATAGTTCAGAACTTCTTCTTTAATGACCACTTCTTTATAACCCTTTAATGAAATTTTTTTGTTTCAGGGTTGTGCCCTAAAACTCTGGTGGAATCTTTTCTTCCAGAGTTTCACAGCTGATGAAATATCAAGTCTTAAAGAAGCTTCAACAGTATTGCTAATAGACATGAAATTTAGTTTCCAATTAACATTTGAAGCAGGTTCATTGTCCATTTCTATTTTATTTGAATTATTGTCAATAATTATCGTTGTATACTATAACTGTATTGAATTATCAATTATGAAATAATCCACAACATCTTTTTTGAAGTTTTTTTCTTCTTCTGTTTCAATTTTTTATTTATAGGCTTCCTCCTTTTTAAAGAAACCTGTTTAGCTGTTTCCTTAGTATCATTACAAATCATTTTATATTTGGATGGAGGCCCAGTTTTTTCTCTTTAAGCTTTTAACCAAATAAGTTTTCTTTTGAATTATTTTTCCCTTGGACAGGTACACTAAATATGTGCAAGATCTAAACAACTATTTGATTTGTGCACTTTTCACATTTACAAAATGTAACATCAAGCAATTAATCTAATTTGATTTTCCAGGTAGAAACAGCTTTTTGGGCTGTCTTTCCTCTAGAAATATTATTAAACTTATTCCAGGCTAATTCTTAATTCTTAATTATTCTTAAATCTTAATTATTACCTCTGAAAACTTGAAAAGAGCATTAAATCTTGTCCATTGTTGAAGAACCAAGCCTGGTAGTTGTACACAAAGTTCTCTTACAGAAATAACCCTTTTTTAAAAATATGGTCACCAAGAGCATGCCCAAAAGTCTTAATGACTTCAACAGCAAGCATTTGTAGAAAATTTATTCTTTGTTCAAGTTTATTTATTTGTTAGAGTTTAATGAAAAATATTTTGTATTGTAAGATAGCCTTGTTAAAAAATTAGAATTTTTGTGTGCTGTGAAAAAGCAAGTTTTAGGAATGCTGTCATTCTGCTTTTATGTGCAATAAAGCATAAAACAATTTTTTTTTTGTGGATGTAATACTCAGATTTCAATTTTGACCTTTGGTAACTAAAATGTATGTATTTTCACTCTATATAAGTGTCTTTTAAATGTCATAGCCTAAGTTAAACGGCCCAAAATATATAACAGTGCTATACTAACTGACCTCACAGCACTAAATTGATCTTAATTTTGAATTGTTGCTGGAAAGAAATTGGTTATACTAATTTGCTTTAATCAAAAGATACACAATATCTGCTATTGTGCATTTCATTTCTGTGCGCGATTTTTTATTTTTCTTTGTTTTTACAATTAGAATCTGGCTTGAAGCAATATAATGATATATGAATAATTTTGAAACAATTTGATATATGAATAGTCATTATACTATTGCGATTATCTTAAAAAACAATCATAACAAAAATATTCTATCATATTTTAGGCTACTTGAATGTTTAAATATATTTTTAGCATTTTATATTTTTTGCGTGTTTGAGTTGCAATAAAAATATACAATGATTTTCTAATACTATACTCTAGCTAGAAATATTTCTCATTGAAAATATGTTGAATACAAGTTGTAGAGGTATAATCTTTCACTTGAAATTTTCACAAGCGATTTATTTTTTATAAAAATAACTACATGAACTTGACAAACTCAGAACTTCTGTGCATGAGTTTTGTGTGTAATCATACATTTACTTAATAAGCAATTAAACGTGAAAATTTTTCTAAATTTACTTGTAATTATTAGTAGTTTTGATTTTCTAATAGAGCTTATTATTCTAAAATTAAGCCTACTAATCAAGCCTTTTTTATTATAGATATTTTAAATATAGCTTTATTGCAAAAACAATAACCAATAAGCAATGTAGGGTTAAGGTACAATCTATTATCTCATATCCAGTTAGTGGCTACTGTAAGTGGTTCATCAGTAAGTGATAGCTGTTCTGTCAAAAACAATGTTAGAAAAAGATTTTTGAAACCTGTTCTAACCTTCAGGTTTTTTGGTTTTGTTATCTTTATATTGTGTTCATTGAAATTTTTATTAATTTTAGGAGCGGCCTTTATCTAAGTCTCTTCAAAGAGGAGAGGATCCACAATTTGATCAGGTATTTGTTAATTTTACAATTTTTTTATTTAAACAAGTTAGAAACATTACAGTTATGAATATAGGTCTGACATTAGCTATCCAATTCTAGCTAAACAGCAATAGAGTAACTTTGCTGCTATTAAAAAAAGTATTTTAAAGTGTGCCATATGTATCTATGTATGTATGCATATATATATGTATGTATATATATATGTATGTATGTATGTATGTATTTATGTATGTATGTATGTATGTATGTATGTATGTATGTATGTATGTATGTATGTATGTATGTATGTATGTATGTATGTATGTATGTATGTATTTATGTATGTATGTATGTATTTATGTATGTATGTATGTATGTATGTATGTATGTATGTATGTATGTATGTATGTATGTATGTATGTATGTGTGTACGTATGTATGTGTATGTGTGTATGTATGAATGTATGGAATTTTGATGTTTTGTTATGGAAAAAAGATTTCCACTTTTTCATTTTTTACATGAAATGCTAGCATGTCAATAGGCAATAATAAATAACTATTTATTATTGCCTATTGCATGTTTTATTTAAGGTCATTATTGGTATTTTCATAAATTTTTTCTTTAAAAATATTGCTTTAAGGAAACACTGCAAATGTTTTTTTGAACATGCTTAAATTACAGCATTTAAATATGGCGTTTTTATTTCTTTAATTTAAAAGAAATAACAAAATAAAAATATATATATATATATATATATAAAATAATTTAAGAAATTTTAAAAGAATGATATGCTGATCAAATTAAGTATTTATAAAAATTTGTTTTTTAACATTTTTTATTTGATTATATAGTTATTTGATTTTAGCTTCTATGTTCATTAAGTTCTGTTGCTGAACATTGTCTATCATCATTGCTAAAAACATTGTTTCTTTGGTATGAAAGGCAGGTAAAAGTTTTTTTTATTTTTTTCAATTTTAATTTATGAATTTTAAATGTTTAACAAAGAAGATATTGTTGATTTTTTTTTTTAACAGAACAATATTTTGACCTATATCTCAATAGAAATTAATTCCAACATGTTAATTGATGCAGGAAATTTTATAAGATTAGACATGTAATTGATGTACGAAATTTTATTAGATTAGACATTATGTAATTTCTGATACCTTTTATTAATAAATATTAAAAAAATTTGTGATTTTTACTAAATCTTTAACTCTCTAAGAAACTGCAAATTATGAGTTGTTGGGACTATATATTTCACTGCAGGCACCATGCAGTCATGTTTTGTGTAAAGCACTCTTAATTGTAGTTAAACATACAGCTTGATTTTTTGTTTTATAATTTTCATATTATATAGTAATTAATAAATCTGCATATCAAATCATAATAACGGTTTACTGTCTATAGTATGTCTAATGCAGCTTTTCTATGTATACACAATGTATGAAATGTACTTGATGGCATCATACTGAAATAGGGATTAAATAAGTTATTTTTTAGTTAAATATTTTCAACTAAAAAATAACTTTTACAGTGCCTTTTGAGGTGTTCAAAAAATTGAAACACTTAACTATAATTAGTTATCAATTTTAAATGAATGAAAAATGTAATAAAAAAAAAAGAAAATAAAGAAGAAATAATAAAAATAAAAAATGCTGATTACATCAGCTTTTTTTATTTAAACCCTTACATCAGATGCCAACCCTTGAGAACCAAACAGAAATGAAATATGTCCTGAGTGAAGAAGAAACTCTGTTCAGACTTTGCCTAAATCTGTTAAGCAAATGCAGGACACATTTTTTACTAATAGAGTTTTTAACAACTGGAATGGACTACCAGCGAGCGTAGTCAATTCAAACTCAAGTCAATGAGTTTGCATTTGTATGTCAAATAAGGTTGCTTTGCAGAAAATTGCAATGATTGAAGCCTGGGAACAAAAAACGTCTCAAAATTTTTGCCTTTCTGCCCCAAATGTGAGAGCAACAAGGTGATAAAGTATTTTTTTGCTATTCCTAACAAGATTTATATTTATCAATAAATTTTAAGTTTCATAGTATAATCTCTCATTGAGAGTTCAAAATATGATCATAATTTTTGAATGCTGAAATATGCTATTTTTACTATGATATTTAAAATTTATTGATGGATATAATTCTAGTTAAGAATAGTACAAAAAATATTTTATCACCTTGTTGCTCTCACATGTTTGGGACAGGGAGGGAGAGAAATTTTAGGGCTTTTTTGTTCCCAGGCTCAAATCATCACAATATTCCTTGTAAACATGTTATAACACTGCATCAAAAAATGTTTATAAAGTGTACGTTTAACTTTTTTGTCATAAGGCAAGTGAAAGCGCAATGTTATATATTTTTTAATAAATGGTACTTGGAAACTTAAATCTTTGTCAAAAACAAAAGTGGTGATGAAGTAATTAACTTGAATTTTATTTTTTGCTTGCAACAAATAATAGTTTTTGTAATTCTTTTGTTTTTTTGTTTAATTTTTTAAAAGTAAATTATTATTTTATTATCTGCAAAGCCGCAATTTTATGAAATAATGAAAAAAAAAATTAACATGTTTTTATTCATTTATTCAAATGTAAAAAAAATTAAGAAATTAAGTTATGTTACATGACAATAAAAAATGTAATAATAAATTTAATACTAGCTGATATAAAATCTATATTTATTACATATATATGTGTATATATATATATATATATATATATATATATATATATATATAAATTCAATACAAAGGTCTTACCTAAAACTCTTATTTAAAACAAGGCCTGATATAAAATCTATATTTATACATATATATGTATATATATATATATATATATATATATATATAAAAATATATATATATATATATATAAATTCAATACAAAGGTCTTACCATAAAACATAGAAACGAGGTCTGCAATTTTTTGCAAACCTCAATCACTTTAAGATCGGCAGTTCAATCACAGTAATATTGGCAATATAAATAAGAAACAATGTCACAAAATAAAATTTAAATGTGGTGTTGATATTAAATTAAAATAATGTTTTTTTTTTCAGAGTTCTGGTTGTGATGATGCAACACCTAGAAGTCCAAGTCGAACTCGAAAGTAATTTAATTTATTTACTTAAAAGTAATTTAAATATTCACTATATATTTTTTATTTGTTTTTTAATTTCTACTTGTATGCTATATAGTTTGCAAATGGATAAAAGTTCATAATGTTCAAAAATCATAATTTAGTTCAAAAATAAATTAGAATAAAGTTAAAATCACTTTAAACAAAGTAAAAAAAATTAAAATTTTTTTTTTTTAATTTTGTTCAAAGTGATTTTAACTTTGTTTTAATTTAAATTAAACAAATGTGCTTCATCAACATTTTTTTTTTAAATTATAATTTTTATTAACTAGCTTTCATGATCGTACGATACGATACGATACGATAGGATACGATACGATACGATACGGGTTGATGAACAAATTTCTTAAATATTATGACTGTTGTACTCATTAAAATGTCTTGGCTTGCTAAAAAGTACGCAGTTAGCATTTTACTGACTACATGAAGTTCTTGGCTTTTGGTTAATTTTTAATTTATCATACTTAAGAATTATTTAGTATTTTTAATTATTACATTAATATTTTCTACATAATAAAATAATAAAAGTATCTTTAGCATATAAGACAGTTGCCAATCAATTCTTTAGGTGTTTTTGGAAACTTATGCTTTGATATTATTTTAACTCCCTTATAAGAATTTGTTTAAAAAGCAAATTTAGACATTGAAAAATGGGCCAAGCCAAAAGAGGCCTAAATATTTCAATTAAGTTAGCTTTATCTGCTTGATATTTTTTATAAAAGCCTTTCTGTTAAAAAAACACTTAAGAAATTCATACAATTAAGCTGTTTTTACTGCGGAATTAGGCAAATAAATTTTTAAACCTATAGTTTGTGCAATTGAGACTTAATGCAAATGAAAACCGTCCTGATAGAACACAGGGCGATAAAAGTATAAATGGTTTTTATTTATATATAAAAAGTTAATGGAAATATAAAAAAACAAAGCAAAAATAGCCAGTATATCTATTCAAAACTCCAAAATTATAAAGATAAAAAATATAGAAACTTATTTGAGAAACAAACTAAAAAGTTTTCTTGAGATAGAATAAGAAAAATAAATTTAAAAAAAACTACAAAAAAAAATTGTATTAAAAAATACTTTTAATTACAATAAATACATTTTAATTTGAAAAATTCTTTCATTGTTACATATCTTTTAGTATATGGTATGGACATTATCAAGCTTAATTTTAGCTTTTTGAAAACAATCAACATTCAGAACATTTCTTAAATTCTACTGTGTAGGAACATTCAAAATCAGTCGTAGGAGAAGGAATTTGACCTGAAAATGGAACATAATTATTATTGAATACACTTAATACACCTCAATTTGTTATGTACTTTATTTATTTGAAAATTTAAAAATGTGACTTAACAGATAACTAATAAGAAACTCACTTAGTGAGGTTGTTTTTCTTTTGTGAAAGTTTCAAGATTACTGTTGCAAGTTTGGAATAACAACTCTTTCTTAAAATGCAAGGCTAAAAATAAATGATCAAAATAAAAAATCTAACCCAATAATCCAATACATATCCTACCCAATAATGTTTACAAAAAAAATTTGACTAAATTTGCATTATCAATAATTAAATTTGCATTATCAATAAAGGATTGATAGATTAACCAATATTTTTTTTTTTTTTTTTTTTTTTATAACATCTTCACTTCCAACAAGGCTGCAAGCAACCACTATAAGAGTTGGAAGTTACTGGAAGAGAAAAGACTAAATCTGTAGAGCAAGATAACGATTGACTGATGACTTAAAAGATTGCAAATTATATGAATCAGGAAAGCAAGATGAAGGAAGCGAATTCCAAAGAACTGATGTTCGAGGAAAAAAACTAGAAGAATAAGAGTTTTTGAAGCACTTAGGAACAGTCACAGAAAAAGGATGAGACTTAATTGAATGGCGAGTAACACGAGAATGAATTTTAGTAGATGGCACAAGGGACGCTAGCTCTTTAGAGCAGTGCCCATTATAGTATTTGTAGAAAAGAGAAAGAGAAGCAACATTACGACGATGTGACAAAGGTTGGAGATTGGCTGCCAGAGCAGGTCCAACTATGTTTACAATTCGTTTTTGCACCTTGTCTAAAAGAGAAAGAGCATCATTAGAAGATCCGCCCTAGATGTGGCAACAGTATTCCATACAGGGACGGATTTGAGATTTATAGAGATAGAGAATAGAATCTGGAGTAAGAAAGTGTCGAGCTCGATAAAGAGATGCAACCTTAGCAGATGCTAATTTTGCAATGGATTTGATATACGGTTTAAAAGAAAGATCAGAAGTAAGAGTTAATCCTAGAAGATGAATGGTAGATGACTCATCTAGTACATTACCATTCATAAATATAGGAAGATCTAAATTATTACGATAACGATTGGCCGAATAAAATTGAGTTTTATCTGAATTAAAGTTCACCAGCCACTGTGAGCCCCATGCTGTAGCAGAAGTGAGATCCTTTTCAAGCTCAGATACCCCCTCCAAGCAATCAGAGAGTGTAGGCTTCTTATCATGACAAGAGTAAATGGTAGTGTCGTCAGCGAATAATGCCACCTTAGATGTGAGAATATCTGGAAGATCGTTAATGTAAATTAAAAAGAGTATAGGGCCAAGGATTGAACCTTGAGGAACCCCTGAAGTTACATCCAATTTGGTTTGATTGGTAGAATACTATAACATAAATACCAATTATAGACGCAGCATTTTTTTTATCTACTACTCACTCTCCTCCTCAACATACGTACATATATATAAAGAGGAGGGGGATGTTTCAGCCCTAAACTTGAACCCACACCTTGTAAGATGTGGGCCCTCTATTCGTTCTGCAAAATGCTTAAAAAAATTGTTAGATGTCTAAATTGACCCAAAAATAAATAATGACATGAAAAAAGTAAAGAAGGCAAAATAGCACTTCAAACCAATTAATCTGTTACTTATTAAACAATCAAAACCTGTAAGAAAAAATACTTTATGTGTAACAGAAAAAATTTCTTATAACTGTAAAAACAAAAAAAATGTTATTCAACCAGAAATTAAAACTATTCTTACCTTGTTTGCAAAAAAAAAAAAAATAATTTTTATTTAAACTATTAGCTAATGATCAACATAGTAAACTTAAAATAATTAAAGCTTACTAAGTTAAAACCATATTTTAACAGTAGACCAAGTAAACAAATAGTCTGTAGAGCACTAAAGTAGAACTAAAGAAATAAAGTAACAACTAAATTTAAAATGTTTTTAATACATAATTCTTGAACCAACATTTTTTCATGTTAAATCGAATTCTATCTTTTTCTTATCTTAAATAAGGAGGGGAAGTGGGGCACAGTAGATCGGATTTCTTTATTTTTTAAATTGAGCAAAACATAAAACATGTATTTTATTTTTTCAAAGAGAAAGGATGAAAATAAATGCATTTTTTTTAATTATTATTAAATAAATTTATTAGAGTCGTAAATCATAATATAAATACAAACATCAGGGGCAAGAAGAAGACATAATTGGTCTTATCACCAAGCCCTTTAGTCTATACCGTAAATATAAAATAACAAAAATTAAAAAACGTGACACTTTACAATATAAAACATTTTTTTAAAAATTTAATATAATAAAAGAATTAAAAAAACATTAAAAAATAACTCTACTTTTACAAGATAATGAAGGTAAAATAGTTAAATCAAACTTAAAATAAATAAAAAAAGTATTAAAACGTTAATTTTTTCTTAAGTATGATTCTTTTTATTAAAATCAATAATATTTTCTTGAACAGATAAGGACACATTGATAAAGAACAATTCTTTCATAAAAAGTTTATTACGTTTTTTAAAGGTCATCATTGCAAGTACTTAATAAACCTATGAATACCTGCAATAACCGGTGATTATGAAAATTTATTATTCAAAAAATTTTATTTAAAATATATTATTTTGACATGGAGAATCATAAACACTGTCACAGCAGTTCTTGAATCATTCTAAAATTTTGCATGTTTTGTTGACTTAAATTTTTATGGTGTTTAGTGTAAAAACAAAATGTACAACTTTCAACAAATTTTTTTGTAAACGTAACTCAATTTTTAACTAAATTAATATTATAAGAAAAAACAATTATGTTTTTAAAAGAGTATAATTATTTACAAAAAAAAATTTTAAAAATAGATTAATAAAAATATACATATAAAACTAAATACATTTACATACCTCTTTTATTTGTAGATGTAGTTATGTATTTTCCACTGCCCACTATAACTTCTCAAACTGCACTTTTAATAATGGTAATTCCTTCCCTTTAATAAAGGGAAAATCTTATTGCCTATTCTAGATATAGAAGACTTTATTTAGTATTTGACTATTGTACCCCCCTCCACTTTGAAACCCATGTTGTTGGAGAGAATCATACAAACTGCTATTCAACAAAAACTTAGAAAATCAAACACATTTAATTACATTTTCATTAGATTAAAACAAATACCAACTTTAAAACTTAAGATAAAGATATATTCAAATTTAAAACTGATGATAAGCTATAAGACTATAATTAAAACAACAATCACATAAATATTATTATTTAATATTTAAATAATTAAAAACTAAAAAAGTAAATTTGAAAGATTTTTTAGAGGTAAATTTAACTTAATAAAATCTAACATGAATATCATCACCAAACAATAACACTGTACTAAATAATTAGATTTATGTAAAACATGTTTGGTATTGTGGTTTATCCTCCTCCAGCTAATTGCCATATAGAGGCCACATTACCAAGGCCTGCAAAGACAGGTTTGGCTCCCCAAGGAGCATCATAACCCGCTCTACGGACCAAGAGTAAAGTGAGTTTAGGAAGAACGAAGATATGTTAGAGTGAAAGACAGAAGTAGTTGTGTTAAAAAGATAGCATAAAGAAAGGGGACAGGATTGCACTCGATGTTAGGAGGTGCAATAGGTTGAAATAGATTCTTTCCAAAAATTTATTTATTAACTTGAATTCAATGTAAAACATGTTTGAGTATCTAACAAAAAAAAGCAATAAAAAATAAAAAAAACAACTTACTTATATCTAAAATATGCTCATCTTCAGCTTCTATAAAATTAACAGCTTGTTGATAAACAATTTCTACACATCACCCACAAAACAGAACATGTTTCATTAACTAAAATATTAAAAGTCAAACTTTAGTAGCTATAATTATAAATAGAATTCATAAATAAAAGTATATTCAATAAATATAGTTTTACGATAATGATTAAAGAGACATTCAAAGATATTTAGAGATTCATGAAAGTTTAAAAAGCAATTTAAATACTTATCGCTTGCATATCTACAGTGCCTCGTGCATCTCATGTTATTTAAATCATCACAGTAATTGATGCACTTTTGGTTGAGAATGTTTAACAGGGGCGTTGATAAATAGCTGTAAATCTCTAAAGTTCCTTATTATGCTAATATTAAATAGTTTAACTATTTTTTAAAACAATAAATTTTATAAAATAATTTAGTTTGAATATAAAATTACAATTTTTAATAATGTTTTTAATAAAAATATACTTTTTAAACCCCCTAACCGTTTTTAAAAAAAGTTAAGGTTGCCGCGTGGCAAGTTCATCAGCTTGCCATGCGGTTTTGTTGTTTAAAATCCAAATCAAAAGTTATATAGATTTTATATTCTATATATAAACATGTTTTTTACTAATTTTCCTTGCTCAATTTAGTTGTAAATAAACTTGAAAAGTTTAACTAAAATAACATAAGTATCTCAATAATGACACATGCGCAAAAAAAATAAAAAAGGAGGTCGCCGATGGTAGGACTTGAACCACGGCTAACTTGGTTTTAAAGCCAGCGCACTAACCACTCTACTATGCTGACACGTTCAGCCTAGAAGATTTCAAATTATATAAAAATTGTTTTTAACGGATATAGATACAAAAGATTAGAAATTAAGCAAAGGTTGACGCAGTTCTTAAGTGAAAATCAAACTGTTGAACTTGATATATGTTTAAGCATGTTTTAACATTACATAACATGAAGTTTAGGTACGTACAATATGAGTTTTGCTCACGTTTTATACGTTTGCTCATGTTTTCTTATATAGCAAAGGTGAGACTCTTTCTCATCACTACCTCGGATGCAATGGTTGCCAAGAGTATCGTGTCAAACAGGCTCAAAAGCACACTATTAAGTTCAGTATTATTAAAGAGATTCTGTAAAAGTTTTCTAGATATTATATTTTTTTAATTGGGTGTTTTTATAACAAATGTACTTTATTGTTTACCAAATCTTTTTTTTCTTCAAGCTTATTTTTAATGATTTTTTTAGTGGAACAGAGTCTCCAAGACCTGGATCAAGAGCTTCATTTAAAGAGAAAGATGTAATTTTATGGGAAAGACGAAATGTGAGTTTATTAAGAGTTTTTATTAAGAAGTTTTTAATTATCTCTAAAATGAATTTTGAATAAAATGTTATAAAGATAACAAAAAAAAAAAAAAAAAAACATAAAAATAAATAATTTAAAAAATAGAAAAGTAAGAAAGTGGCATAACTTTTTTTAATTATCTATTAAAAAATTTTGAATGAAATATTATAAAGATTATAAAAAAAACATAAAAATAATAATAAATAAATAAAAAGCACTGAGAAGTAAATAAGTAGCATAGACTTAAGTCTTTTTCCACCCTTTTTTTTTAATTTACTCCCAATAAGGCTACAAGTAACCTTTATTTAAGTTGTGAGTAAAAAAATTGTAGGTATCAGAAAAACATGAAAGTGGGAGAGAATTCTAAAGTATTGATGTATGAGGAGAAAAATAAACCATGATAGTATTTAACAACCATGATAGTATTTTTAGAAAAGAGAAAGAGATACAACTTTACCGAGAGAGAGGCTCATAAAGCAGTCATCAGCAGATAGAGCAGGTCCTACTGCATTTACAACTTGTTTTAAATCAGGAATACATAGTTGAGTCATTAGCAAATAGGGCCACTTTAAAAGTAAGGTTGAAAATCATTAATGTAGATAAGAAACAAAACAGGACCAAGGATAGAGCTTTGAGGTACCTCAGAAGTTACTAGAAATGAACTAGAGTATTTGGCCATTAAGGATTTCGAGATTATTAAATTATTTTGTTCTCAATACTTTAATAATGTATTAAGAACAAAATAATTTGATAATCTCGAAAACTTTACCAAATACACCATTTGAAGCAAGCTTATGGAGAAGACAAGCATTTCAAACATTATCAAAAGCTTTATGTCCACCAGCCAGAAAAACAAGGTTCAGTCAACCACTTATTAAATACTTTAGAGATATTTGAAGAGAGTTCTAGAGAATAGAAAGACTTTGTAAGACTTTGGCAGGAATGTTGTCTGGACCACAAGCCCTAGAAGAGTTTAATTGAAATATGACTTTGGCAACGGAAGCTGGAGTGATTTGAATGTCAAACAATTGGTTTGACATTCAAATCACTCCAGCTTCATTTTTCAAACTTCCATTCAGTTTAACCTGTTAAACTGAAATGGAAGGAAGAGTATGACCATAAGGTTCAAGATTTGAATTAGAAGAAAGATTTTTCCAAATAGTTTAGTCTTGTCCTTAGGAGAGGTATTTATCAGTCCAATTAATTAGGATGGAGTGTTAGACTTACCTTTGTTAATAACACTATTGAAGATTTTTCAAAAGTCTCTAGTACCTAACCTTTGAGATAAGATTTAGTGAAGTGGGAATAATCAAACTTGGCATTATGTGTGGGATTAAGATGTGAGGCATTAAAAAATGTGTTTTTTTTTTGTTTTTTTTTTCATGTGGTCAACTTTTAAAATGTTTAGAAGACTAAGGAAGATCACTTAGCAAGCATTTCTTAATAAAACTTAAGCTGCATTTTCATTGTCTGTAGTCAACTTTCAAAATGTTTAACTTTTGGAAGGCCAGGGAACATCACTTCGTAAGCTCTTCTTAACATTGCTCGGGCTGTATTTTCATAAACTTAAGTACAATGAATATGATAAAATTTATCAATTATGAATTTTTAACAATTGTTTAAATTTTTATAGTCTATTATTTATTTTTATTGAATATTTCAACATATTTTTATTGTATGTTTTATTAATATTATTTTTCATATTTTTATTGTATATTTCAACTTTATCATGCACTTTATTTAACATTTGTGTTATTTTATTTCATTTTTGAAAAAAAAAACTATTTTAAGCCCTTGTGTCATATTATTAAAAGAAATAAATAGTAGGTAAATAAAAAAAAAATAATAAACTAACTTACTTAAGGGATTTTAAAAGTGGCTTGAGTAGTTGTGTTTGCACATGCTCAATATTTGCACATGCTATATGTTTTCTTACACTTACATTAATGTTCACTGTTTTATAGCGAGTGTATTTATTTAGGGGCCAATAAATAAAAAAGTAGAAGTTATGGGACATGTTTATGACTGACACAGAATTGCAACTTGTTTTTAAATATAATATATGTTCTACTATCCTTATATTAGGTTATAAAAGTTCTAATATCACTGCTGTGTTAATGAATGTATAAATGTTGATATAAATATAACAGGGTATAAAACACAAATTACTGACTTGAAGCTTCACAATTTAGAAGTGATGTAATGATGTAACAAAATTGCTCAATACCGATGTAATGATGTAACAAAATTGCTCAGTAATTATAATGACATAAGTGACAGCAAAACAAAAATGAAGAATTAAATCATTTTATTTTGTAAAATATAGTCTGACTAGTTTTTTATAAAACTGTGTGAATTGTATTTCAAATGTATATTGTGACCATGTATTTAACAATTTTTGTTTATAGTGTCAAAAATAGTTAAGATTTTTGAAATATTTAGCTTGGTCTGGTTTTCAGATTTTATGATTATCAAACATATATTTTTTTACTATATATTTGTTCCTATCTTATATTTTAGATGTCAGTAGAGTTTATCTTTTGCTTAGTTCTTATTGAAGTACTGAAGCAGGTAAGACATTTTACTTAATTCAAAATAACTAAAAAATTGCAAGAACATGTTTAAATGTTGTAAACATAATTTTTTTTGTTTTCTACTTAGTTAACTATTCATCCTGTTGATGACCAACTTGTTCAGTATATAGAAGATCTTGCTTTTAAACACTTTAAGGAGCATAATGTGGATGCGTCAGCACCATTAGTTGTTTGTAACCAAGGCATTATTACAGCATTATATGCTGAAGTTATTGGTGTACTTGCACAAACACGGTTTCAGTCTATTCGAAAACGTTTTGTGAGTGAGTACAAAGAAAATGTAGGTAACCCACAGATACTTCTGAACATTACGATGGGCTTGAAATTCATTAGATTTAAGGTGATTATTAATAGTTACTGCATATATTTTGATTACATAATGTTAACGATTCAAAAAGTTCTTTTGTTTTATAAAGTGCGCTTGTAATAAAGTTTTTTGATAAAAAAAAAATTTTTTTGTAGTTGTATCCAGTGGATGAAGTAGAGGAGTCATTTATGTTTTTACAGGTTTTTTTAAAATACTTTATCTAATATTAAATCATGTTTTTTATTTTTTAAGAAAAATAATAAAGAGTAAAGAAAAAAATGAAATATTTTATTGTTGCATTTATATATATATATATATATATATATATATATATATATATATATATATATATATATATATATATATATATATATATATATATATATATATTATACATTTATATATATACATATAAATGTATAAGTGTTTTTTTCTTTTTAATTAACTGAAAAGTCATTGGTTTTATTAAATTTTTGAAAAAGGTCACCCACCATGACCCTTGATTACACACTGGCTCCCATATATCAATGAATTTTTTTCTTCAAAAACTATATTAACTTAGGTCTCAAAAGAACAAGAATTTTACAGTGATTTCAAAATTCATAATCTTTTTTACTGCAACTTTTAAAAAAATTAATATTGCAAACAAAATGTTATAAAAATTGACCTTTTCAATTTTTAGTTGAAAATAGTTGTTTTTTTTGTATATAAAGTTTAAGCTATTTATTTAATTTCACAGAATTTCATAGAGATTTCAAATTATTTTTGAAATCTCTATGAAATTCTGGTTCTTTTGAGACAGACTTTTCTTTTAATCAATAAAGACTCATCAGATATATATACATATATATATATATATATATATATATATATATATATATATATATATATATATATATATATATATATATATACATATATACATATATATATGTATATATATACATATATATATATATATATGTATATATATACATGTATATATATATATATACATGTATATATATATATATGTATATATATACATGTATATATATATACATATTGTAGTTTATATATTATAGATGTTAATTATTATATACTATAGTTAAATATTTAAATATATATTGTAGTTTGTATTTTATAGTATTTATATTTTATTGTTTGTATATTATAGATGTTAGTTAAATATATATTATAGTTAAATATTTAAATATATATTGTAGTTTGTATATTATAGATGTTAATTAAATTTTTTTTTTATTGTAAAAGATAAAATTAAAAATGTTATTAACAACAGGAATGCGCAACATTATTTCTTGAACGAAGTTTGGACAAAGAGGTGAAGTATGCATTTGCTAACTTGTTTGTTGAGATTTTAATACCTGTGGCTGCTCAAGCAAAACGTGAATATAATATTCCTGCTGTAAAGAAGTTTGTTGATCTACTTTATAAAGATGCATTTGATATGTCCAAAAAAGCAAAACATAGCTTGGTTTGTAATTTAATTTCTTTTTTGATAATCAGTTCTTTATTTTTATCAATAATTTCAAACTTATGGATTATAGATACAACAATCATAATAATTAATAACTTATAATATGGTTTTTTAGTTACCATTATTAGTATTGTTAATATGATGATTTATCATTATTTTTATCAGCAAATAATTTTATAGTATGTTTTTATCCCTTAGACTAAATAAATGCATTTAGTAAAATTTATGTGTAACAATTTAAAATTATGTGTGTGCTGAAATAATATATTGACCAAATATAATGCATTAGTCATAGGCGCAATTTTATGTGTATGGTTCACAAACAAAGTTTTTTATTATTTATGAATTGATTTTGTTAATGTATCTTAGGCAAGTTGCATATTTTCATGCAACCTACAAACACAGACATTAATGCTAGTGAGTCAAATTTTGATGTGTTGTTGCTTTTACTTATAAATAACTATATTATAAATAACTCAAAAGCTTCTTTTAGTGTATAATATAGATGAAGTATGGAAGTTTTGTTTGTTTTTCCAACAGAAAATTGAATCCAAGTAACATCTTTTTTGTTCAGTGATATTTGGGAAACGCATCTTTATTATAAAAGTTTACAACTGCTAAAACATCTATTTCAGAAAGACCGTACAGCTTTGAACATGCTGGAGGTATACCCTGATTTTTTTTACAAGCAGAACTATTTGAAAGAAAAGAAAGAATTTTTCTTTTTAGAGACTTTTTTATGACTCTTAGTTTTGCTTTAGCAGAATAAGCTTTTTTATTAGAAACAGATTTCAATTTTTCTTGTATTTCTTAGGTTTTTCTCTGGACATTTCTTTCTTTTTGTCAGGACTCTGTGAAACATTAGCTTGGTATTCTGCATAATTAGCTTGGTATTCTGCATAACGTTTTTTTTTTAATTTCTAATTTGAATTCCATTTCTTAAAAACGTACAACTTTATAAAAAAATGCAAACAATAATCCAATAATTTACAAATATTTACTAAAAGTACTTCACAATATTAAAATGCAAATTTTATTTAATCAAAACCCACAACAAAGTCTGAACTTTTGATTTTGACTTCCATACACGTTCTTTTTTAAAGCACTAATTATTCTGTTGATGGGTTCAGTGATGCAACAGCTTTTCTGTTGATGGGTTCAGTGATGCAACAGCTTTTCTATTGATGGATTCAGTGATGCAACAGCTTTTTTGTTGATGGGTTCAGTGATGCAACAGCTTTTAAACTATAATTATTATTATGTAATGGTTTTTAACCTTATTTTTTTTAAAGAACGATAGAAAGTTTACATTTTGATATAGAATTTCTAAAAAGACCTATAATTTAATTTCATAGTGGTAATTAAACTTTCTTATATTTAAGTTTAGTGACGCAACCAAATTTTTGCAGATGTGTATGTGACAAAAAAGCATTTTTATTATTTATAAGTCCAACAGTTTTTTTGCTCAAGTTATATATGAATCAGTGTTTTTTAAAACGGCTGATTTGCTTAAAACCTGTTTTTGAGAAAACTAAAAAAACTATTTATATCCAGGGAATATCTTTTTCCGGATATTTCCGGAATTCCGGATATTTTTCTCAAAATATAGTTTTTCCGGATATCCAAAATGTTTTCTCATACATTCAAGTTTATATAATATTTGATTTAATGTATATACATTTTCGTTTTCAGTGATCAGCCATAAAAAAAATGTCAAAAATGTCTATAAAAATTCTGAAGCCTACCAGCTGAGAGCAAAATTAGGAGAATAGTAAGGGAAAATATGTTCCGGATTTTTCTGGATATTTTACATGAACTATATTTTCTGGATTTTTAAAAAATGACCTGGATGATCACTGTATATCTTTTAATATTAAATATACAGATTTTGTGTAATATATTTTTAAAAGATATATGCAAGAGTAACATCTTCGTACACTTTGATAATTGTTATAACATTTTGTTTGTTAATAATTAATATATGAAAGTTCCAAAAGTTTGCCATTTTAAAAAAATTGAATATTTCAGGAAGGAAAACAAATTAAAACTCCGTAAGAACTACAGCTATGTACTTTAAAACAATATTTTACCGTGCCAGTAATAAATATAATACATATATATATGAATTAATAACAAAAAAAGCTCTCAGTAAGCATTAAGTCTCAGCATTTAATCTATTTCTTCCTCAATGTCACTATCAGGGAGAATCTCAGATTCATTAGTTGGCCAGGAGTACAGCTTTTTATAAAACTCGTTGAATTCTTCAGGAATGAATTCTTTTAATTTGTTAAGGTCTTTCACCTTCGCTTTTTTCAGTGTAACTTTGCCACTTGGATAAGCTAAACTATCCACCTGTGGTATAGTACCCATATGTTTGGACATAAAAAATGTATGACATACCAACTGTGGTATAGTACCCATATGTTTGGACATAAAAAATGTATGACATACCAAACCATTAATATTGGTGAATGCCTTAATGAAGCCTTTTTTATCATGCTCATATACAAAATAAAACAAGTTACTAATTGAAAAGTGAACCTTCTTTCTTTGGGGTATTTTTACCCTTGGTTTCTGAAGAAATACAAGATTTTTTCTAATGTTTTGGGGTCCAAGCTTTAAAATCAAAAAGTTCAGTTCCATCTACAATTTCTTTCACCGTAAATTTTTGTGATCTGGAGCTGCTAATAATAAGCTCAGTGAGTTGATGCATATGATAAAGACAGTCATGTGTTTTTTGAAATTATACCTATCACAAGGGAGAAAACTATGCCCTCTCATTGGGAAGAACTGTTCGACTTTATCAAACTTACCACTGTCAGTTAAGTATAAACAAAAACATGATAAGATATGATTTTTATTTTGTCCACTACAGTTGTCACTAAACAAACGTAATGTATTATACATTGATGGAACTGAGATCAAATAATCATTCAAAAAAGTCGCAACTTCATTAGGCCCTTTTCTTCCTTGACCTTCATGGTATATATATACATGACTTTTTTCTTCTTTAATGTTATGTATAGAAAAAATATTGACTGATAGCTGTCTCATATAATAAAGTTGTTGGACAGGTATTTTTGGCAAGCTTATTGTCTTCATATAGTCAAGTGCCAATGATAGAATGTGTTCCTCTTTTAAGCCATTTTCTGATGTTTCATGTTTTAAAGCATTGTAAAATTTATTACTCCTGTGCTTATGAATATCTAAATCAGTCTGCGCTGCTCTTTTAGCTACATCATTGAGATGTGGTGGTTTCAATCTAAGATTTAATTCTTCACACGTGCAACAAGTATCCACTTGTGGGCGCCTAAACCGTAAGTTAAAATTAGTTTTAAAATGGTTCCAGTAAAAAGAGTTGCTCACTTTTAAATCTGGATTTTTTTCACAAAAAAGTTGCTACATTGTTTTTACATTTAAACTTGCGTTGAGGTAATATACTTTTTTCCCTGAGTAATGTGATTCCTTGAGTGGAAATGATCTTATGTGATTATTAACAATGTCATGAACATTCTGAGGAAGACAATTAGTAATACCTTTTCCTCTTTTATCTTCAGGGGTTATTCAAATTACCTTGAGGTTCCTTATTCTCCGTAATCGTTTTTCACTAATACTTAAGACAGATAAAAGTGCACTGCAACATATCTCTATGCGTACATTGCCTAGAATCACATGATAGGAGAAGCTGGCTGCTTCGGGTTTTCAAGATCTTTTTGATGTGGCACTCTTCTTTTAACTTTAGTGACATCTATTAATCCTTGAATATAAAAATCTTGTTTGTCTTTGCTTTTTATATCATAAAATTTAGAAAAGATATCCACACAGTTAGCCTCTCCAAAGTTCTCGAAACACTTTTTCTTGCACCTTAAAAAAGAAATCAGAAAAATTAATATAAAATTAATGCAAGCTAAAAAAAGTTTTTACTAAAATACACAGCATTATTTATAATCTTAAATAGACAACAACATTGCCACCAAAGTTGTGGGGAAATATGCTATAGTACTATAGCTGGTTTAGACTTAAGGTTAGGTTTTTAGAGTTAAAATATATGCTATTTTATAAATTTTAGACATAAACATATAATACATCTTAATTATTTTAAACTCATGCTTTAATGAAATAAGATTAATGTTTCAAAATTTTATAGTCTAATATTTTTTTTTATTTTAGTATAATTTCATGTAAACATGAGACTTATGTAAACATTAAATTTATGATTAAGTGAAAATGATTTAAATATACTATATATATATATATATATATATATATATATATATATATATATATATATATATATATATATATATATATATATATATATAATATATAATATATAATATATGATATATATGTATATACTGGATGTTTGAAACTTACCTGCAAGTAAATATTGGGTACTTTGGTGGAACTTCATTTCCCTTATGATTTATGTATGATTGTCCCATTAAATGTGCTTGTTTTATTTTGTTATGTTTGTACTCACAAGGATAACTTTTCCTCTTTTTAGGACTTGGAATAACGAGGTCCATTAAAATCTTATAATAACAACAAAACTATTAATACGAAATACTATTAACATTTTTCCCCTATTGGGCCTAAAAATACAAATCAGCTGAAGAGCGATTTTTTTAAAAAGGGCGTATTTGAAGCGAATTCACCTTTTTAAAAAAAATAAAAACTTTGAGGTGGCTTTATTTGAATAAGAAGATAAAATTGAAACACATTTTTAACATAAACTGATGAAGCTATCATAGAAGAAAACAAAACACACAAAAAGTGAATTTCAAAAAAAATATCAAATCAGCCCTTTTAAAAAACACTGATTCATATATGAGGAGCCCTCTGCAATACCCGCTAAGTCACAAAAATAAAAAATTTTGAGTTCTATTTCTAGATTAAAATTTTGCAATACATATATTTTGCCCTCAAATTTTTCTCACCTTTTTTAAATAATAAAAAAAGAAAACAGTTGCGAAAATTCATTAAGTTTATCTACTCAGTTCAAATATTTTCTACTCAAAATTTATTTTAACAATAATATCAAGGTGTTTAAGCTACAATTAAAAAAAAGTTTTCAGAAAAAAATTAATCACTTCCATTGAAAAAAATAGTTATATTATTAACTAGCTTTATTTATTGTAGGCAATATACCCACTTGTCACTGCCCTTTTGTGCATCAGTCAAAAACAGTTTTTCCTAACCAACTGGGGACAGTTCTTAAATATGTGTTTAAGTTGCATAAAGGTATGTAAATAGTAAATCTGTTTTCTTTATATTACTTATTAATTTTTATTTTCTATATTGTTGCATATTTTTAAATCCAGTTCATTTTTCAGTAATCGCTTTTTAGTAACTATACATTTTTTTAATAAATCTTTTGTTATTAAGAATGTTTCATATTTAAAAACCTTTAACAAAAATTTTGTAAAGTTTTTTGCCAAGAACTTTTTTTTTCCTATAGTCAAGGGACAGTAAAATGCAGCGCATGGCAATGGAATGTTTATATAGGCTTTTATGGTAAGCAATTAAAAGTTTCTTAATAGCTTGTCTCCTTTTTGATTATTAGATAAATATTGTTTTTTCTTCTTTTCTTTTGTATTTAAATTTACAAAATACTTTTTGATTTTGTTAGGATTCATATTTTACATTAAAGTGTTGTTATCAGTGTTGTTGTTGTTGCTTGTTTTGTTGTTGTTGTTGTTGTTATTCTTGTTATTATTATTACTATTATGACTCATTAGTCACTGAATTATGAAATAATATGATTATTATATAGCTGAAAATAGTTCATAAATTCAAAATTTTGATATTACTGCCATTTTAAAGTGTTTTTTTAGATGTTTCTAATTTTGATATCATTGGCATTAGTGTAAAATATGTCAAAACTTTTAAATCATCTAAAAGAAATCATGTCTACCCCTAAAATCTAAAAGTGTCATATCTACCCCTCATATCTGATTTTATGAAAGTTTTCAATTTTAAAACTTCATAACTCTAAAATCATAACAAATTTAAATTTCATAATGTAATAACATTAACATTATAAAATACATTTTCCTTTTGTTTATTTCTAAAAATGATTCTTTATCTATTTCATCATTCAATACATTATTCAGGCCTTGTAATAAATAAAAATGTTTAGCGCATTTGCATAACAGAGATTTTGACGTCATAAAATTCTTTTTATTTGGTTTTTTTAATTATAATTAACATCAACTTTTTTGAACTACCACAACTCATTAAATTACCACAAAACTAGTTCAATTGAATAATTAACTCAAAACAATGAAAAAATATTATTTTGTAATAATGTTATTTAATGTTTAATTAGCTTTTTATTTTTTATAATATAAAAATATTTGTTTATTTTCTTGACATTTGACACAATCAAATTTTGTCTAAAACTAAATGTATAAAAAAGATAAAAAATTTCTTGAATACATATGAACAGTTTTGTAAATAACAATTACCTTTTGTTTTTACAAAGTCAATGAGTAACAAAATAAAAAATCTAAATATTGCAAGAATAAAAACCAAGCAATAGTTAAATTTTTTACCACCAGTTTTATGTAAAAATAATTTTTTTTCTTTTTTTTTTTTTACAAAATAATTAATATACGCTTATGTTATTAATATTTATTTTATTTAAACAATTTTAATGTACGCTATCTACATATTTTTAATGTTTACAAAGAATTTTATTTCTAGTAAAATTAATTTAAAATGTGAAAAAAAAGTCTTATAGGTTTAAATCAATCTAGCAAAAATAGAAAATTTTATTGAACAATATATAAAAATAGCTGTGCTAAAATAATTTTAAAATTAATTACTAAGTATGACAAATAATTATTATTTTTGATATAACGGAACTACCTGAACAAATGTTATAAAACATATAATATAATAAAACATTTTAAAAAATCATAAAATTTTAATTTTTATAAATTTTGCTTATATATGCCATATTAAAAAAACAGACCCATTTTTCTATTGTTGCTATATATTTTGATTATTTTAATATTTCGATAAAAAAGTTAGTTTTAAAATGTTAAAATAAATGTTAATTACTTCATTAATTACTTCATACCATTTAAAAATATCTATAGAGATTTATATTATTTAAATATTATCAAAAAAAATGTTTTTAGCTTAATATGGATAGCCTAACCTTAAATAAAGTTGCTCTTTGTGTACATGTAAGGCACTATGCCCAACACTTTATCACAAGGCCTAATTATTGTTGACTTCTATAAAATTACTGGTTTGTTTTGAAATTATTGAATAAAAGTTTTTTCTAAAAATTTTTTCACTATAGGATATGACGCTAATTAAATATAAAGATACTAAAAATTTCATTTTTCAAATAATTTTCTTAAATTTTTTATCTTAATTCTACTGAATAATTTTGCAAAATATATTTATGTTTTTATTGTGTTATTAATAAAAAAAATATTCATAAATGAAATATTTTTTATTTTAGGGTGTATATTATTCGAATCAAATGTGAAGCACATACTATCACAATAAAGTTAGTATTTGATTTTTTTAACCAATCAAGTGTCAAATCTTTAGTATAAAGATTTTTTGATATCTCTAGCAGGATATTGTTATAACTATTCAATAAATGTTCTATTATGTGATCTCTAGTCGATTACGAAGCATTGTTGACACTTTATTCCCAAAGAATTCAAGAACTGTATTACCAAGAAATATTCCTTTGACAATATTTGTCAAAATTATTCAATTCATCGCTCAGGTGATTAGTTCTTTTTAACACTAAATTAATATGAGATTTGAAATAATAGTTTTAGTAGAGAACAAATGCAAATACAATTGTTTTTTTTTTTGTTTTTTTTTTAGGAAAAGCTTGATTTTGCAATGCAAGACATTATTTTCGATTTGTTAAATATTGGAAAATCTGTTAAGCAGCTTAATCCAGAAAGAATGAATATTGGACTTCGTGCTTTTTTGGTAATTGCTGACAATTTACAACGTAAGGAAGGTTCTCCACCTATGCCTAGTACAATTGGCCATTTACCTTCTGGTAACACTCTCAAGGTAAAAAAAACTTTTACTAAATTAACAGAAGAAGCTGCACGTAATATAGGTGTTGTCACTTACTACACTAGTGTAAGGAGAGCGTTAGATACAATTTTAAAAACCTTAGATAGCCAAGTTGGAAAAAGCATGACTTTAATTAATCCCCAAATGGTTAACAAAGAAGTCAATGATTTTATTAGCGGAGAACGTAAACCTAAAATAGATTTATTTCGTACTTGTGTTGCTGCTATACCAAAATGTATACCTGATGGCATGGGAAAAGAAGAGCTTGTGGAACTGATATCCAGAGCTACACTTCATGTGGATGAGGAATTGAGAAATCTTGCATTTGCAGCTTTACAAGGATTAATAGTGGATTTTCCTGAGTATCGTCATGATATAATAAAAGGCTACATTAATTTTACTCTAAAAGAAGTACCTGATTCTTTTCCACAAATTATAGAGAATTCAATTCGAATGCTTGCGCAGCTTTTGATCCAGTGGAGGAATGCAGTGTCTATGCCAGCAGGAAGTAATACAGATAAGTATCTTGAAATGTCAATGCACTGCTCTAAGTCACAGGCAGATAGTGAACTATCATCAATACACACTCTGCATGCTACTGAAGGATTTGCTTTAGCTATGCTTTGTAGCAACAAAGCTATGATCAGAAAATTAGCTTTTACTTTGTTAAAAGAAGTTCGAATTCTTTATAAAGCCTTATATAATGAAGGCAAAGATGAACTAGTTATAGATGTTTTAGAAAATAGTGCTGCGTATGTAGTGGAAAAAGCACTTGCTAATGTATCTGGATATGATAAATCTTCACTGGGTTTATCGCCACATATTGATTTACAGTTATTAGCTGAAAAGTCTGCTTTACTTGCTGAAAAGCAGGAACACAATATAGCGAACACTATTAACAAAGATTTATGGTCACATTGTTTATCAGGCTTTTTTGATAAAGTTTTTCTTAGTCAAAAAAATTGCTCTTGTATGTTTCATTTTACATGGCCCTATATAAATAATCGAATATTTGTTTTATACTCAACAATGGATCCTAATGCTGACTTTGACTCAATGAAAAGTCGAACTTCTGTTATGTCTTTTCGAGCACCAAGAGTTCAACCAAATCTTTCAGATGTTTGTCTTTGGAGAAATTATCTTATTTATCTTTTTTGTGCTCCACCCCCGACTGTGTTAGTTTCAAATATTTCAACAATTGCTTCTATTTCATCTAATGATACAGATATAAAAACCGATCATAACAAGCTTCCTCCTGACTTTGTAAAGCTTTCTGACATTTTTAGAACTACAGTTCTTTTAATAAAGAGTGAAATTTTTGAAATAAGAGAGGCGGCTGTTATTGGACTTGGAAAAACCAATCCTCTTGCTCATCCTCAGCTTATAGAAGAGTTGCAACCTCTGATAAGAGAAGTACTTGATAAAAAAACTGATGGTGTTAGAAAAAAAAGAAAAAAAGACCTGCTGCGTTTGCAAGTTGCTAGAATAATGGCAGCAAATGCAGAGCAGGGCTGCTTTCGCCACAGTTTATCTCAGCCTGACAACAAAGGTGTTCTACATTGTCTTGGAGAATATATTGAGGGCATGAGAAGTATACTGGAACAAGAAAATGAAAAAGACGATGGAAATTTAATGTTGCTTCGATTAAACTTTTCCAAATTTTTGCACAAAATGATCAAAAGTATACCTATTTCAATGCAAGGCTCACTTTTGAGAAATCAAGGTAGACATCACTTGTTTTTATTACTAGCTGGTTGGTGCGGACATTTTAATGTTAATAATTTGGGTACAACAACCCAAACTGGTCATCATAGTGTCGAATTAGAGTTCTCTGCATTAGAAGCAATGTGTGCATTGTTGTGTTGTGGTCAAGTTTTTGATCAAAAGGCTTTGACTGTTTCCAATGGTTATCTTTATAAACTATTAGACACCATGTTTCAATCAAACAATACTAATGTTACAAAGTTAGGTCAAGAAACTGTTGAACTTCTGTTAGAAAATAATGAGAGCATACCTGCTCTTTTAAATTTTGTTGTTGATAGATGCTACACAGGAACTCGTGGCATTTCTAATGGTTGCTTTTTAGCTTTAGCTAATGTTTTCAGTAAACAGTATGTTTTATTTTTATGCTTATTTTAAACATAAGTTTGCATAAGTTTTTATCATATATTTGCATAAATTCTTATAGTTTATATATATCTTAATATAAACATGTATAAATTAATCTTTTCTTTGTTAATTGCTAGTTCATATTCATGCCAACTCATATCTTTGCTGTGTGTTGTTATTTTTAAAACTGGGGATCCTTGCCAAGAAATAAGCGAAAAAGCAGCACAACTTATTTACATTCTTGACAGGTATATTGTCATGTATCATATTGTCTGAATGTATATAAATGTTTTTTTTTAATGTTGTTTTGATTTTGGTATAATATAAAAAGAATTATATTAAAAAAAAAAGTTAAAATTGGAAACTAAGTTTAAGTTACATTTGAAGTTTTTCTAACTTTTATGAAGCTTAATTTGTTGATTTTGTTTTTAAATAATTTAATGAAATAATAAAATTAATTTGAAGTTGTTTTTAAATATATTAATAAAATAGTAAAATTGATTTGTTGAAGTTGTTATTAAATATATTAAAAAAATAATAAAATTGAATTTTTGAAGTTGTTTTTAAATAAATAATCTTGAATTTAATAATCAAAAAGTCATTATAAGCATTTGTTAATTTAATTATGAATATAACTTTCATGTAATAGTTTTTGAACTAAAATGGCATATTGTTAAGTATAATATACTTTTTGATTGAAAACAAATATTTTTAAAAAATTCGTTCTTCTACTTGGTTTTCATATTACTATATAAAAACATATTGTCATTCTTCTACTTATAGTTTTCATATTGTTGTTTTTTAACATGTACTAGATATTTCTATATAAGTACAAGAGAAAATAATTTTTTTTTAAATAAATGTGTACATAAAAAAATAAATTTTATGATTACAAATCTAGGCGGTTTTTTGGTTACATGATTCCTTTTCGATCTGGATCTTCTGAGTGTACAAATGGAAACCAAACATTTTCTATGCATCTTGCATATACTCATCCAGAGCTTACACTGCCTCTTATATCAGGTTTGATATATTTGAATTTTTTTAATGTTAGTTTCCTTAGCATTAGTATTTTTTGAGTTTTTATTCTTTTCGTTTATTTTTAAAAATTAAGTTTTAATGTTGTCTTTATAGATGAAAATATTTATTGGGTGTTTAATAGGATATCTTATTAAAGTAATTTTTTATTACCAAATTTATTTATTACTTTACAATAAAACTATAAAATTTAGTTTAGTTATAAAACGCCGGGTGAATAAAAACAAGCAATTACTTTTACTCAGTAATTGGTCAGCTTTACGTGAATAAAAGCTAAACAAATTTTCTTTAAGTTTTTATTTACGTAATGCCGAACAATTACTAAGTAAATTGCTTAACTTTACGTGAATAAAAATTTGAGCAAAACTCCTAATATTTTTATTCACGTAAAGCTGACCAATTACTGAGTAAAAGCAATTGCTCATTTTTATTCACTCGGCCTAAAGTTACATTTTAATATACATACTTAAAGGCTTGAGCCAAGAGCTTTAACAAATTTAAAAATGCTTAAAGGACCGAAAATTATAAAACATAAAAAACCATCGGTTTCACCAAGTTCTCTTAATCTATCATTCGCTAATAATGGTCTTCGAAGAAATTTTTTTTTCTGTTTATTCTTATCTCTTGCAAAGTTTACCAGACCTACTTGCTCTTAGTGAAATTTGAGTTCAGCTGTCTCATATTGTGACCTTAGTGAAATTTGAGTTCAGCTGTCTCATATTGTGATCTTAGTGCTCTTGGTTATCTTCTTTTAATTCACTTTTACCTTTCTCAATCTCTAACGCAAATAGTCAACTTTCCAACTAGCTTTCCAGATTATCAAAATCATTTAGCTTCTCTACTTGACTTAAGTCTTGTTTTTGATCCTAGTCAATGCTCAGTTTTTCCACATTCGCTCTTAAGTGCCTCTGATCACGGTTTGATCTCTCTAAAACTATTATCTCATTCTTCTTCATCATCAGAATCTTCCTATCATCCTACTTCTTACAACTACCATAAAGCTGACTGAGACTCTTTCGTAATTTTTGTTTTCCTGCTGACAAATGTGCTTCTTATGTAACTTGTTGGATTCAGTCTGGTATAGAATCATTTATTCTCTTTCATTTCAAGTCAAGCCTCACTCTTCTTCATGGTTTTCCTCTCATTGTGCTGCTGTAGTATCCAATTGTAACAGTTACTTTCATATCAATTTTTCAGAATACAGGCGTCTATTTACTATTGCTAAAAAACCATTGTAAATAGGTTTTGTCCAATGTCTGAGCCCTCTATTCTCAGGTCACAAAATCTCGTATATTATTTCAAAAATTAGGCTCTTGTTTCTTCTGAAGAATCTATAATAAGGCCAAACCTGTTATTCCACCTCTCTTGTATGGTTCAGATTTTGTCAACTTCCCTAAAGACAAAGTTTGCTAAGAACATCTCATTAATATTATCTCTTGATTTCACTATTCATGTTCTACCTGATATAGCTGACAAACAGGTTGATATATTGCATGACAATTCTACCACTCCAGCTTCTGTATCTAAACTGATTTCCTGCTTAGACTCTTCTACAGCTTGTGGTCTGGACAACATACCTGTTATAGTCTTGCAGAAGTGTTCTTCGGAGCTGTCAAGTAGTCAAGCTATTAAGTAAACTCATTCACACTCTACATGAAATATAACTAATGGAAAACTTATTGTACCATCATATAAAACTCAAAACTATGGTAAGAATTCTGTTGTGTATCAGTGCATCTGTGAATGGAACAAGAGCCTTGTGTGCATTGTGAATGAGTTCAATAAACTCTAACTCCGAACTCTTTTGTCATCTTTTCTTAATCTTAATCAAAATCAATTTAAAAAAATTCTGAAAAATATTTTGTTATAATTTTTTTCTATTACTATAATAATTATCCTTATTTTTTGTTTGTTTTTCTTTTCTCTTTTATTATTACCTATATATATGATTTTTAAAAAGTTTACTTTGTGTCTATGTTTTATGTTTTATGTCTATATGTTTATTATTAGTCATATTATTTTGAAAAATGGTGCTACTCCTTTGATCAGACTTCTGTATGAGTGAAACCATCCATACTAATCAGTAATTTATTATAATAAGAAATAACATATCATTTTACTTATTATTATAGTAATTATTATTATTTATAATTTTTTTTCTTCTTATGAACATCTTTAAGGTTATTCCTTTTCAATCGTAGTATAAAAGTTGTCCTCAATGGACAGCACTCTTCATATCCTATAACTTCAGGGGTTTCTTAAGGTTCTATCACTGGTCCTATACTCTTTAGTTTAAATCAACAATTTCCCAGAAATTCTCCTATCTAAAGTGGCATTATTCACTGATAATACTATCATTTATTTTTGTCTTGATAAGAAGCAATTTTTAACAGATAAGTATTGGGTACATAAAAGTTTTTATAAGTATACTTTTAATAATAAAGTTAATTTATTTAAGTTATTTTATTGGTTCTGAAGGTCATCGTACCTTTAATGTCATATGATTAAAAAAAAAAAGTTTATTGTAAAATAATATTTTTACAGTGAATTTAATTGCATAATCAACTCTAGAAAAGGAGCTGGCATTTTCCTTAAACATCAGTTCTTTGGAATTCACTTCCTTCATCTTGTTTTCCTGATTCATATAATTTGCAATCTTTTCAGTTGTCTGTCAATCATTATCTTGCTCTATAAACTTCATCTTTTCGCTTCCAGTTCTAACTTTTATAGTGGTTGCTTGCAGCCTTCATGAATGCAAAGATATTTAAAAAAAAATCTTAAATTTATTGTTGGTCAAAAATATTTTACTTTTTATAACAAAAATATTAAGGTATTAACAATTGTAATTTTCATGTAAAAAAAATGATAAAGTTATGTTTTTCCAAAAAAAATTTTGTCAATAAACTGAATTTTTTTTTTTTAATGTTTTTTGATATATTTTATTTTTCAGACTAACAGCTTTTATACATAATTGCTAAAAACAGTTTAAATAGGATGATATTTGATAAAGTTGTTGCGCGTGTAATGTAAATTAACATTTTATTTATTCAAACAAATTTCTGGATTTTTAAAATATGACTAGGATGATCTATGATATATATATATATATATATATATATATATATATATATATATATATATATATATATATATATATATATATATATATATATATATATATATATATACACACACAGTCATATCCCTGTTGCGAGTCAGGCTATTTGTCAATCGATGGAGCAGCACTCTGTTGTAAGTCAGGCTATAAGATAGTTGATGTAGCAACACTCGCGCATGATTTACAGTAAAAAAAATAAAAATAAAAACATTTTATTTAAAAAATAAAAAATTAAAAAATTGTTTATATTTTTAAAAACATTCTAGTCAATTAAATTTGCCTTTTTGCGGGTTTTTTTAAAAAGTGATTAAATTAATGGTTTTAACTTTATGACAACAGGGAAATGTTGAATGAATGTCAAAAGTAATTAAAAGTGACATAATTTGTTGTCAAAAGAATCATTTTTTACCTTCCTTACTCTCAAAACCAATAATTGTGTGTATAAGTTTATAAAATTTATTTAATTAGCTATTTATATAATTAATAGTAAAGTAATTATGAATTGTTTGTCTTCAGAAATCACATTACGTTTTGAAACTGCAACAATGGTAGGACAGAGGTGCTTATTGTATTTTCTTTCTCCCTGGCTTGAAAATATTGAGCTAGTTGAATTATCAAGTACTCCTGTATCATCAGAAACAGGAGAAGCATTAGATTTAAATGATATTCATACTCCCACTCATACTCAAATGTTGAGACCAATAGTTTTACAAGGTGGTGGTTGGGGATCATCACAAGCATCACAGATGGTCTTAAACAACTTGTTTTATCTGACTGTAAAGGTTCCAAACTTTTTTCTTAAATTTTGTTATTTTATAACATAGTAATTGCTTATTTAATTTATATTGTTTGTTTGAAAATATTAGCTCAAACTAATCAAAATGTTTTCTTTAACCAATAGAGTAGGATTTTAAAATTTTTGTAAAATCGAAACTAAAATGAAAAAATCATTTTATTTTTAAAAATTTCAGTATGAAGAATTATACAGTAAAGAAATTGAAAAATGCTGGTCATCTTTATGTATTCATTGGGAGAATAACATTGCACGCATTATAGACTACCTTATTATAATGGCAGGGTTGTGCGGCACATCTGTTCTTATTCATGTATAATTGCTTGATTATTCAGATTTTAGATTATTTTATTAAGATTTAGATGTAGCATTAATTATTCTTAAAATTATTATTAAAAATTCCTTTTTTTAGGCTAAAAAGATTTGTGTTTATCTTGCAAGAACAAAAAGTACAGCCACTGTTTGTCACCTAACAGAAGAAATAAAGGTACACAAATTTTTCTTTCAACATTAAAAGATAAAAAATCTCTGTTTTACAGAGATCTTTTATTTATAATATATGTTAAATAAAAAATTAGCATAACTGGTCTTTTTTTTATATATATTTCTTTCAAAAATATTTAGATGATCAAAAATATTAGATGATTTACAATTCTTGCTTGTTCTTGTTATCCTTGCTTGTTCTTGTTTTGTGCTTGTTCTTTTTCTTTTTGTTTTGTGCTTGTTTTTTTTTGAGATTACAAAATCTTATAGTAGATTTAGAATAATATTTTTAAACAAAGTTATTATTTTATTTTTAGCTTACTGATGTAGTTTCTAACTCATGGGACCGAATCCCTTCTCCTCCTTACTTTAGATGTTTAAGTAAGCTTTTCTCTCCCATCAAGTTGAGTTCACCACATTCAAGTAGTTTGACACAAAAGCCCCAAGAAGGAATTAAAGAGGATGAAAACACTTTGATTGACGCAAACAGTTCGACTTTATTAATAAATCGGTTTGGAAATGAACGATCTTCATTTGGATCTTCTGGAAAGTCTTTTTCAGAAAATGGTAATATTACTGTTGCTTAAATATCAAATTCACAGATTTTTTCAAAGTTTACTATCTATTTAATAATGCCGAACTTAATAGTAGTAGTACCCTTTCTAGCTTGTTTGACACAGAGCTCTTGGCAGCCATATCAACCAAGGTAAAGCAAGAAAGGGTTGCATTAAAACTAAGGTGAGGCGAGAAAGATTCGCAGCACTTTTTTTATAAGAAAATGTGAAAGATTGCATGTAAATATCTAAGTTATGTAAAACTTCAAATTATGTAATGTTAAAACATATATCAAGTTTTACAGTTTTACTTTTACTTGTAAATTGCACTGCGGCAACATCTCCTTAATTTTGATTTATAGCTTTTATCTGCCATTTTATAAATAATTTAAAATGCTTTGTTAAATAATTTAAAAATATTCCTCAGACAACACGCCTGTGTCGCCAAGTGGTTAGCTTGCAGAGTTTCTGAAGCAAAGCACTGTGGTTCAAATCCATTCTCTGGAACCATTTTTGATTTTTTGATTTTTTTCTAAAATAATCTAAAATACAAAATATAACACTTTTGAAGTTTTATAGATATCATATACATAAAAAAAAAAAAGTTGACTCTGATAAAGCGGTTAGAAAAAAAAAATTTAATATTCTCAATAATCTTTGTAACTGGTTACACCATATGGAGCAAGTTTATGGAGAAGACCAGCATGACAAATTTTTTCAAAAGCTTTAGATATGGCAAGAGCAATAACTATAGTCTCTCCACCTCCATCTAATGAACTATAAAATCTTTTAGTCACAGCAATTAGCAAATCAGCCCTAGAGTGAGAGGATTGAAAACCAAATTAAATTTGAATGTTTAATTTAAATGGAAGGAAGAAAATAGCCATAAGAGTCAAATTAAAAGAAAAGTTCTTCGCAGATAGTTCTCCTATATCCTTAGGAGAGGTAATAAGATCAGTCTCATGAAAGACACAAGAAATGTTAGACCTACTCTTGTTAATGACTATCTTAAAGGTTTTCCAAATCTCTAGAGCCTAACTTCTGAGATAAGATAAAGGATTTAGTGAACTGAGAATAATGGAGCTTAGCATCAGACAGCACTTTTTACATCAATTCTTGCAATAATAAGTAGCCATTTGTTCTCAAGAGAGTTAAAAAATAATTATGATTAGATAAAGCAGCTGCACAAGAAGGTGAAAACTATGTAGTAGAATGAAAATTAATTTGGAACTGACGAGAAGGTGTAAAGGCTTTCATTGCTGCCTGAATCCAGGAGTTTACAAAGGAGTCGCATTTTACAGCTGAGAGAGAAAAGAATCAGCCCAAGGATTGTCATAAAGAAAATCACAAAAAGAATCCCTGTCAGCTTTAGGATAGTTGTTAGTAATGCAGTGATAGGATGAGTCCAAAAAGGAAATATGAGATAAAAGATTTAAAGAGATTATGCATGGTCAGAACCACCACAGAAAAGGAGAAGCCGTAGAAAGGGAGAAAAAAGAGAAACTGGACACAATCTAGGATCAGAGACAACACATAAATTAAGGGGTGAAGGTAAATTATTAGGGTTGTTAGGAAAACAAGTCACAAAGTTAATTATCTGAGTAAGAGATTGAGAAATGTGGAAGTTATAGGCTTTAGTGCTAGCATGGTCAGTGGTGTTGAAGCCAAGCCATTCAGTGTGATAAGCATTTAAGTCACCAATAACAAAAATATTGGCAGAGGGATAAAAGGAGTTGGCATGGTAATATTGATCAAAACTTACATCTAAAAGAGTGGAGTTTTGGAAAAAAAGAGAACATGAAAGAGAAAGTTGATAGAGTAAAGAGGTGCTGAGCAGAAGTACATAAAAGAATGGTCAAAGGATTCAAACCTGATTTCATGCCAAATAGGTGAATTGATGCGTATGTATATCCCCAAGCATGTAATTATTAGAGTCTTGCGAATCAAAGGATAGTACCCATCAACACTGAGATTTGAAGGTTCAACTGTAGAATTTAAATTAGTCTCACTAAGAGCAAGCAAGTCTACAATGTAGCACTGTTAATGCTCTGATATTTTACACCTGTTAATGGAATCAGCCTCTCTGAGAGATTCCAGAGTTCAGGAAACCTTACTACCTGCCAACCTTTGAACTATTAAACTGAGTTTTAGAGCTGTGTCCTCATTATGGGATTAGAAGAGTTGCATAGCCAATTTCAAGGAGGCACAAGCAAAAATTTTTGTGTAGAATCAAGAAGATACAGCATTCATTATCCAGGCAGGAAACAATGTAAAACAGGTTTACATCTATGCCAGCCTAATAGATCAAGAAGGGTTCAATTAATCAATCAAATATATTTCGAAATAAGTTATAACATTTCAAGGAAATTTACAATAGTAGAAGTACTAATATAAAGTAAATACCTGAATATACAACATAACGTTATAGAAAATGATGAAAATAGTAAAAACTGATATCAATAACAATAATTAATATATATTAATAATAGTAATAATAATATTAATAATAAAAGTAATAATAATAATTCTAATAAGTACAATAATAACAACAACAACAGTAATAATAATAATTATTATTGTTTTAGAATTAGAATTTCATAAATAAAGACAATAACAGTAGCAACAAAAATTTAGTAAATAATGACAGAAACAACAAAGATTTAGTATGAAGTAGAGAATAGATAAATGAAAACAGATAAATAGATAAATTAAGAATCTCAAAATATTAGTTCTAGTATTAAAATTAAAATTTTTATAAAAGTATTGAAAATGGCAGATAAAAAACAAGATGAAGTAGATATAGATGGACAAGTAAAGAATTTCAAAATGTTAAAATATCAAATTAAAAACTGAAGGATCACAAATCGATAGATATAATAAAGAATTTCAATATTAATTTGTAGAAATATTTAATTGTATTTTTTAACAAATAATTAAAAAGCTTGATTTTGAATTCAGAGATTGAATTAAGAGATTTTAGATCAGGAAGTAGTTTGCTCCATAAACTAATACATTGATATTTAAATGGATTTATATCTATATTTAGCAGAGTGGTGTTTTGGAATAACTTAGTTTAAGCTACTGATGGCACAAAGAGGATAGTGACAATACTGTACTTGTAAAGAAATTGTTGAATGATAGGGGAAGGATTTTGTGATGATAATTCCAGACAAATTGGCAGTTAAGAAATACCACAAGTTTGTCTAATTTTAATATATCGGAGATTAGGTAAAGCATATTAGATTTAAAATTATATTATTTTCAATGCTTTATTTTGAAGATGAAACAACCTTAAAATAATTTGTTTATGGGATTGTCCCCATACTTAACATGCATATCTTAGATAGGACCCAAAAATAGCATGATATATAATTAACAGAGTTTCTAGATTTATGTAATGGCGGACTTTGGCTAGCCTTCCAGTAAATCTGCTGAATTTCATTGATAAGTCATTTAGATGGCCTTAAAAAAAAAGATTAGAACCAATTTTAATTCCAAGATATTTAATAGAATCAACACGTCACTTAAAGGATAAATTTTTTGTCTGTTTAGTCTGAAATTTAAGTGCTTATTAATTGATGCCAGATAGGATTTAAAGACGATCAGCTCTGTTTTGTAAAAATTCAGAGAAAGTTTGTTAAAACAAAGTCACTGAATAAGATTTCCAAGATCATGATTAATTCATTTGTTGATTTTTTAAAGTGATTTGTCAACCAGTAGCATGTTAGTATCATCAGCAAAATGGTTAGCAGTTGCAAATTTAAAAGAAATATTTTAAGTCATTAACAAAAAGAAGAAGAAAAAAAGGTCCTAAAACTGAACCATGTAGTACGCCATTTGAGGAATTCTTTAAATCAGATTTTGTGTCATTTATGAAAACAAATTGTGTCCTGTTTTAAGGATATGAAATAAATCATTTTAGTGGGATGCCTCTGATTTCATAGTATTCTAATTTTGTGAGAAGGATGGAGTGATCTACAGTATCAAAAGCTTTTTGAAAATCTATAAACACCCCACGCTACATTCAAAATGCTTATTATCTAGAGTTCTTCTAATCTTCTCAGTAATTTCAATAAGTGTGAGGGTTGTGGAATGTTCGCTTCGAAATCCATGTTGATGTTAGTACATGCATTTAAATTTTTCTAAAACTTGCATAGTCTGTTATGCATAGCCTTTTCAAGAAGTTTGCTAAGGTTGGAAAGAAGGGAAATGGGTTGATATTTAGAAAAGACTAGTAAGGAGCCTTTTTTATAATTTGGAATAACTTTAGCTACTTTAAAAACTTCAGAGAATTTGCCACTTTTAAAAGAATTATCATTAAGGGTCCCAAGACAAGTGATTTTTAACTCAGAATTTGTTTCTCCAAGCCTTTGCCAAAAAAGATATTTTAGAAATGTATTAGGAAAAACATTAGATCTAACAAAATACTAGAGATTAAGGTGAGCATAGGTTTTATAGTGGAGTCACTAGTTATTTACTGAACTCACACTGGGTCAGAGATTTAAAAAGAACACAAGTATTCATAAAGTAACTTAAAGGTTAGTAAACATAATGCCAGAGGTTCAGACAGAACACAAACATACATAAAGTAACTTACGGGTGAGTGAGCACTGCATCACAAAAGTCAAATAAATATTTTTGTAATATTTAAACTTTTTAAGTCATTATCCATACAAAAAAGATAAAAAGTTTTAAAAAAGTTGAGAAAGCTATTAGTTTAGAGCAGAGGCCATTCTACGAGTAAAATAAGGGAGGGGGGTGAATCCTTAAAAAGTACCAACTGCATTTAATAAAAAGGTCCTCAAAACAAAAATTTAACCAATTAAATTGTGTCAAATACCCAACTAGCAAACTAAATTCATGAAAAAACTAGCTATAACTTTAAAATCAACTTCTCCGGGGAGGAAGGAGGTTAACACACATACGTAAAATCACCTCTGGTTTACAGTTAAATTATGACAAATAGGAGAGAAAAAATTTCCGGATTTTTTTTGCTATATGTTTTTTGGATTTTTTAAATAGGACCCAGATGATCTCTGTAAATTACAGGTGAGCTAATGCAGTAATTAAGGCATATATATATATATATATATATATATATATATATATATATATATATATATATATATATATATATATATATATATATATATATATATATATATATATATATATATATATTATAGGCAAGACAAATATTAAATAGTATTGATGACAGGAAGTACACTTCTTCACAGCCTTTGCTTAGAAATCGAATCCCACAAGGCTGTAGGACATGAAACAGGTTGCACTGGGTTACATGTTACCAGTAGCAAGGTGACCATTTGCAAGTAAGCAAATTACATTTGCTTACTTGCTTTAAAAATTTAAACCTGATTTTATCAAAAGGAGAAAAAATGAAGAATAATGGAAAAAAAAACTTTTTGTAGTTTAATTTTATCATGTCTAGACACCATTACATCATAACAAAAAATTTGTTTTATTACCATTATGTAAAAATTTGTCATTAATAAAAGAATCCTTTTCTTGGTCCATTAATGAAAGTTATTTTATATGTAACAAATTAATTTATAATATTGATTGTCTGTATTTTATTTAGTTTCAGAATCTGCAAAAGCTAGTCAAATTGCAGCTTTGATTGAGCAACAAAAAAAAGCTGCAGGCTCTTCAGAGATGTGGATATATCAATGGGTTATGAAAGTTGATTTATTAAAAGGAGATGGATTGCCATTACCAATGCCTCATAAGTTCCAATATTTTGCTCCAATAACTCAATTATTTCCTCTCACATCACCCCCTGCTCAATTGTACAGGTATATTTGTATAGGAACACACCATAGTTTTTTATGTTTGTTTTTATTTAACTACTTTTTGAAAGCAATAATTACAAATATTTTTAAAAAACTTAAAAGTGTGTACCCTCTACACACTTTTAAGTTTTTACAGGTAGAATATTTTTAAAAAATGTATAAGTGTACCCTCTACACACTAATATTTACTAAAAAACGTGTGACCTAAGTATGCACTTTAATAAACATTCTAAATACCTGTGTCGATTTTCCTTTATTTCATAGAAAATGATATTCAATATATTATTTATGATGAAACAATACCAATGTTTTTCTAATGAGATATTAGTTTTTAGTACAATATATTGAAATTATATGATCTCTATGAGGTATTAGGCAAAAAATAATAATATTGTTTTGTATTTCCATTTACCTAAAAATATATACTTACTGTGCTGACCAAAGTTTGCTGTTGGATTGTACATATATTTATATTTATATTCTATGATTAAAGATGGTTTGACACTGTGTGGTTTGGAAGGGCTTCATTACACCATTTTCTCAGTTTTATATAATACCATTAAGATTGAAGTAATGTATATCATCTGTACAATTTTTTAGATGTAACTTTGCTTTGATGTTACTTACGGAGATAATTTCAGATCAAAGAGATATACCATGGGTTGAGGATCTGCCTTTATTGCTTCATGTTAGCTTTCTAGGTAGTATATTGTAAGCTTTTGTATATAGTCTTGATTTAAAATAATTTGTGTATAATTTATAATATTTCATTTTGTGATTATAACAAAATTTTCGATATAGGGTTAGATCATCCTAAGCCTCTGGTGTATGAGAGTTGCAAGCGATTGATCATTAATTTAATAGTAGTGCTAGTATGTAGCAGTGATCATTCAACAATTGCAAAGGCACTTATGGATTTTCAAACCGTTTCTTCAACTGTGTTAAGCCAGATTGCTAGTTGCACAACTGTCCCAAATGATGGAGATTTAGGAACAGAAGAAACCTTAGGTGCCTCTGGGTATGGTATTTTAAAATTTTTTTTTTTAACCTATCAACTTGCTAATCATTCTTATCAA